GAAAATCTATTAAATCTTAAGACATTGATATGTACTATCCCACATAATGTGTTTTCCTAACTGATGATGATAAAAAAAATTACTCTCAGGATGAAAAAGTATATGGTCTCCTAAACATAGCCAGCTACAACTGACCTTCTCTTTAGAAGTTAACTACTTGTTGACTGATTTTGGATATCTTAAGATGGAATAACTGGGAATGCTAGAATCTAGCTCTATGAGACTTCCATCCTCCAGAAGCTAGCTCAGGCACGTTTTCATGTCAACAGCAGAGGTGTAACAGAGGAAGAAGAGATGTGTAAGTACTGATTCAAGCTCCTGCTTCGTGACTTGGCCCATGCAGGTCACACAGCAGACTGAGACTCAGAGTGGAGGTTACATGGCAAAGGGTATGGATATAGGCAGGAGTGAAGAACTGGGACCATTAATACAACCAACCTACTCTACAGATCTAACTAATTGAATCTGGTCTCATAAAATATGTCTGGCATTTCCACTATAACCTTCTGATCCCTTATTTGAAACTGAATCTTAAAAGAGTCTATCTTAAACACACATCCATGTGCACATGTGCATACACACACACACACTTTGTTCATTTTCTGCTTATCTTATACTTTTTGCTAATGCAGTTCGTTAGCTAAAATATTTATTTCTCTAGAGACTAGCAAAAGAATAGCAGGCTTTTAATAGAAATACCACATGGAATGAACTTCATGTTCAGTATACAAGACAAATATTATCCACATGGCATTTATCAAATAAAATTTGTGTGTGTGGACATTTTATTTACAAGCATACATTGCAAGAAAAGCACATATTTAAAAATAAAAATGAGCTGATCATTCTACAAACATTCCAGTTGCCTATTATAATGAAATTGTGTGTTAAGTGTCATTCTTAAAGCAATAGAGATGGCATTTGCATATCAGTTTAATTGCTTTTGATTAAACATTGAAAGATGAGAGCCAAGAGAGCTTATTAAGCTGAAATGAGGGCAAATGATAAAAAAGTGATATTACATCAACACTACGTCTGGATATCTGTTGCTGTTTCCATTTTAAATCCTAAACTGCAATGTTTCTTAAAATGATCATTGAAAGCCCGTCTCGAAATACAATAAAAAATTAAAAGGTTAATGCATAAATTGTGCTTCATAAATACAATTTGATTTCAAAGCCAAACTAGTTTTCTCTACTTTGTTAATATTTGTTCTTAATGTACTAGACTGTAAGCTTTTGAAAGACATTATGTCTCATTTACTTTTGTGTCTTAAGGGCTTTGACATAGTCTGTCCTGTAATAGATGCTCAATAAAAGTGTGTGAATAAATGACTGAATAAATGCAAGGTAGGGTGACCCCCTCATAGTCACTGTTAATGCATTTTAGGTGAATGGTTGGACACTGCTGGTTTTGATTGGTTTTCTCCCTCTTTGCTTCCGGGAATCATCAGTCATTAAACATGTAAAGTCCTTCACCCACCTACGGTGAAGTAGGCTGTGTGGAGTGGGGCATGTGTAAGGCAACTTCTTTTGTAAATCAGGGGGTTTCACGTTGGGATGTTTGATTTGGGCTTAGACTGGAAACTACCATTTGTTTTCTGTGTCCACAGCATCAGAAAACTAATCTTACATCATTTTATAAATCAACGATAATGCATAACTCATTTATTTGCAGTAGAGAATGAGCACCACTTCCAAGTGTCCTTGTTACCAGAATTATTTCATGTTTGTCATCCCAAACATAGCACCCCAGTCTAATAAAACTCCATCAGACTACTATCACATGCTAAAATAACAGCTAAACAGAGACAGGAAAACACTGTTTTATTTGCATAGATTAAGTGTATGCCCAGAATTCAAAACCTTTAAGAAATACAAATGCACAAGAAATGGGGTAAGTTGAAATAAAAAGGAGAGTCTTACTGATTTGTCTTCTTCTTGTTCCTCAGTTTGGTCTTAAAATTTTGTAAAAGAAAATTTTTTTGTTATAATTCATCAGAATGACTTATGACTGGATCATAACTTTAGGAATATTTTCTTGGTTTAAAACCAAGAAAACAGATGTAATGTATGGGGATTAACATAAGAATAAAAAATTAAAAAGTGTTCCGAGTATGATTTAAAAAAAAAAAAAACCAAGAAAACAAAAAAGCTGTATTTAATTTTCTTGTTTCTTACATGTAAGTATGATTTTAACCTCTGCTTAAAGAGAAATTACATTCAAATACTGATAAAAGAAATTACATTCAAATACATATCCGATTTTTTAGAGTAATAGCTCCAATTTAGTACTCTTGATGTTTTAAAAAGACTGTTGTGATATTCAATATAGAGAATATAAATATGTATTACATATATTAATGATTATATAGAGAGCAAATTTTTAACCAATTAAATAAAAATGCTAATGTTATGAAATTCATGCAAAGTAATACAATCTCTGTTTGAAAAAAAGAAAAACCCCAAATCTGAAAAGGATACTTATATCAATGTACATTTTCAATTCTTATTTTTCTTTATATTTACTACTATATTTGATCCACAAATAAGCTTGTGAAATAGTTTAAAGGCGACTGTAGTAAGGGATGATACAGAAATAGACTCAGATTCCAGAGCTATGGTACTTAGGCTAAGTATTAGTACTTAGGCTAAGCATTGCAGTACAAGCACAGAATAAAAAGGAGTTCCTTGTTAGGGTCTCGACCAAAACATGGAAGCGAGGAACAACCCAGCCCATCAGGAGCAACAGTCGTTTAAGTACTACCAAAGTCACAACTGTGAATGGGGAAATGGTAGGAAATGGGGAGGAGAGACAGGCCAAACCCAGGCTCATATAGCCAAACAAAATAGTTTGAATTTGATTCCACAGAGTATGCACATGCAGGGAAGGGTATTTGGCAATGCACTATGACACATGATGAAATGTCACGAATGAAAATGTTTTATCAGAAATCTATTTGCTAGTGTCAGGACTCATTCTGCCCCCCACTTTTTCATACTGTTACCTTACATTGGGTGGTTGGTTGTTCAGCTGTTAAGAAGGAAGTGTGACTCTACTTCTGAAACTAGTAACACACTATATGTTAATTAATTGAATTGAGATAAAATTTTAAAAAAAAGAAGGAAGTCTGAGAATTTCTCTAAGAATCTCTCAAAGCCCACAAGTTGGAGTAGAAGTCATTAGGGATAAGGGTATGCAGATAGATTTTGTTTTGTAAAGTATTTAAAACTACTTGGTAATTAATTCAGTTACTTTGTGAATTATTCTAACACCAAACAGGAAAGGCACTGGTAGGCTCAGAGAAATAAATGATGCATGCCATCATACTTGGACATGTAAAACAAAATGATGCTTACCAGTCATCCAAGTAGATGTCTGAAATAGCAAATATTACAATAAAATAAAGTCTTTTAACAAAAAGAACTATTTAATAAATATATTTTTATGATGTTTTCAGTAGCTCATTCTTTTGAAGCAAACTTCAGAAACTCGGAAAGGTGACATTTTTGAGTGATATAAATCTTTACAGTTACATATAGGTATTTTATTATATTTATTTTTAAAGATTTATTTATTTGAGGGGGGAGAGGCAGAGGGAGAGAAGCAGACTCCCTGATGAGCGCGAAGCCCGAGGCAGGGCTCAGTCTCAGGACCCTGAGATCAGGACCTGAGCTGAAACCAAGAGTCAGATGCTTAACTGACTGAGCCACTCAGGCGCCCCTACATATAAGTATTTTAAAAGTATTACCCACATTTATGAATTTACTTAAATAGGGGGAATGTTTAATGCTATCATAAAGGTAAAATGCTATTGTAAAATATATTGTTTAGGAGCTGCAGAAATCATTTTTAATTAGCAGCTGTCTTTAAATATCACAAATATTTATATATTCTTTTCCCTATAATTCCCTGTTGTCATTTGTTTCATCAGTTCATCTAAACCTACCATTTTTCATTCATTTGACCATTGTAAGTCAAGAAACTTTTACCTTTTCTCTCTTGTGATTATTATCTTGTCTGGTGGGGACAAAATAATTGAGACAGAATAGAGGAGCAAGAGGAGACAGCAGGTGCATTTGTATCTTATGTAATGTTTGCAAAATAATAAGCACCACATGAATAATGCATTTGAAGAATATTGTCTGGCAAATGATATCGAGTCATATATCCAAATCATCCCCCAGTTACTGAAGAATGAATTACAAGTGCCTAATGCATCCAGTTTTATCAGAAAGAGAATTCACCATGTGGGGCATCTAGGTAGAGTAAAAGGGCTACTGTTTATTGAATAGAGGATTAAAATCTCTGTATCTTCATCTGCATCTATGTCTATAGCTGTACCTGTATCTCTGTAATTTTGAAAACCTAAAAGGTGTGTGTGTGTGTGTGTATACACATACATTGAAAAGTCTAGTTTTGTTTTTTGGTTTTTTTTTTTTGAAGAATTAAGTTCCTGTGGCTTATATGCCATTGATTCCAAGGTTGGCTTTTATGAAATATAACGAAACTATTATTTGTACTAATATTATTACTATAGTTTATTTTAAGCTTAAATATTTAGGTTTATTTCTTTCAGATATTTAGTATTTATATTAGTTAAAATTAATTTAAACTTAAATTTCAATACTTAATGTATCTTACGTTAACCTTGACAATAAACTTAAGAAGTAAATATTCCTATTAATATTTTACAGGTAAGGAAATGGGAGACTCAGTGAATTTAGGAAATAGGCTTAAGGTTAGTAAACTGCAGAGCTAGGATATTGACCGGATGGTAGCTAACATCAAAATCCATTCTTTTTTTTTTTTTTCATTAAAACATTTCCCTGTTTTTAGATAAAAAGCACTAGGTTGTGCTTCTATATGGTTTGTATACCTAGCAATGTAAAATACTGAGACATTAAAGACAAAGATGAAGTAAATACTCAGAAAATCTTTGCTTCAATGTTTTTTTGTTTTGTTTTGTTTTTTAAAAAGAGAGAGAAGTAATGCAAGACCTAGGATTTTGGAGTAGTTGATGTACCTTTCCTGATTTTACCTCTGGACTGGCTCGCGGCCTGCTGGCCCCGAGGCGGCCCAGCTGTCTGCGCGGCCACTGTCATGACAGCCACGGGGCCCTGCCAGGTTCTCAAGGGCTGTGCCTGTGGTGGGGCCGGCGGCCGCGAGGCAGGGACCGGCAGCAGTGGGTGCGCAGGGCGAGGGCTGATCTGCCGGGGTCTTCTCTGGCTCTCGGCAGAGCCAAGCGGAGCCAACAGCACCGCCTGGGGCTGCGGCAAACTTCCTGCTCCAGGGAGGTTAAGGACAATGGCTTGCTGAGCAGATGACACTGTTCTCTGACTGGTTGAACCTCGTGCACTTGAACCCTGTGGCACTGGCTCCTGAGGACCAGTACTTGTGGGCTGTTGACTAGTAGTTGTGGGTTGTTGGAGTTGTGGTTGGGGAATCAACTGATAGAGCCACTGCTGCTGAGGCTGCTGTGGGGTGTTCAAAAGGAGCGAACCTTGTGGAAGCCCCAGTAGAGTTACTGGACTGATACTGGAGGCATTATTTAAAATAAATTGAACACCTACTTGAGAAGGAATCGGCGGTGCATCAGGCACTGCATTTGGTGGCTGAGCTCTTGAGGGTAGGGTGCTGGGCTTGATTCCTGCAGGAGCTATGGTCCCAGAGGTAGAGCCCTTCCTGGGACTGGGACCTCTCCCCAAAGCCTGGGTTCCACATCCAGGGCCCACCACTTTGATGATGTTGTGGCCCGCAGAGTTGGCCATCACTGGGGTGGCCAGGCTTCTCTGTGATGAGCTGGTGGTGGACAGGGAGGCTGCAGGAAGAATGTTAACTCGATTCACTTTTACAGAGGATTTCTGGGAAGGGGCCATGACCCGGGTGGCCAGGGTTCTTTGTGATGAGCTGGTAGTGGACAGAGTGATTGGAGGAAGCACGCTAACTTGAATCACTTCTGCAGAGGATTTCTGGGAGTTGGCCATGACCCGGGTGGCCAGAGTTCTTTGTGATGAGCTGGTAGTTGAGAGGGTGGCTGGAGGAAGCATGCTAATTTGATTCACTTCCACAGAGGATTTCTGGGAGCTGGCCATGACTGGGATGGCCAGGGTTCTTTGTGATGAGCTGGTATTTGACAGGGTGGCTGCAGGAAGCATGCTAACTTGAATTACTTCCGCAGAGGATTTCTGGGAATGAGCCATGACCGGGGTGGCCAGGCTTCTTTGTAATGAGCTGGTAGTGGACACAGTGGCTGCAGGAAGGATGCTAGCCTGATTCACTTCCGCAGAGGATTTCTGGGAGTTGGCCATGACCGGGGTGGCCAGGACTCTTTGTGATGAGCTGATAGTGGACAAAGTGGCTGGAGGAAGCATGCTAACTTGAATCACTTCCATAGAGGGTTTCTGGAAGTTGGTTGTGACTGGGGTGGCCAGGGTTCTTTGCAATGAGTTGGTAGTGAACACAGTGGCTGCAGGAAGGATGCTAGCCCGATTCACTTCCACAGAGGATTTCTGAGAGTTGGCCATGACCTGGGTGGCTAAGGTTCTTTGTGATGAGCTGGTAGTGGACAAAACAGCTGGAGGAAGCATTCTAACTCGAATCACTTCCATAGAGGGTTTCTGGGAGTTGGTCGTGACAGGGGTGGCCAGGATTCTTTGTGATGAGCTGGTGGTGGACACAGTGGCTGCAGGAAGTGTGCTAACTCGATTCACTTCCACAGAGGGTTTCTGGGAGTTGGCCATGACCGGGGCGGCCAGGGCTCTTTGTGATGCACTGGTAGTTGACAGGGTGGCTGCAGGAAGCGTGCTAATTTGAATCACTTCCACAGAGGATTTCTGGGAGTTGGCCATGACCTGGGTGGCCAGGGTTCTTTGTGATGAGCTGGTAGTTGACAGGGTAGCTGCAGGAAGCGTGCTAATTTGAATCAGTTCCGCAGAGGATTTCTGGGAGTTGGCCATGACCTGGGTGGCCAGGGTTCTTTTGGTTGAGCTGGTGGTAGACACAGTGGCTGGAAGAAGTGTGCTAACTCGTATGACTTCCGCAGAGGATTTCTGGGAGTTGTTCATGACAGGGGTGGCCAGGATTCTTTGTGATGAGCTGGTGGTGGACACAGTGGCTGCAGGAAGTGTGCTAACTCGATTCACTTCCACAGAGGGTTTCTGGGAGTTGGCCATGACCGGGGCGGCCAGGGCTCTTTGTGATGCACTGATAGTTGACAGGGTGGCTGCAGGAAGCGTGCTAATTTGAATCACTTCCACAGAGGATTTCTGGGAGCTGGCCATGACCTGGGTGGCCAGGGTTCTTTGTGATGAGCTGGTAGTTGACAGGGTAGCTGCAGGAAGCGTGCTAATTTGAATCAGTTCCGCAGAGGATTTCTGGGAGTTGGCCATGACTGGGGTGGCCAGGGTTCTTTGGGTTGAGCTGGTGGTGGACACAGTGGCTGCAGGAAGTGTGCTAACTCGATTCACTTCCACAGAGGATTTCTGGGAGTTGATTGTGACCTGGGTGGCCAGGATTCTTTGTGATGAGCTGGTAGTGGACATGGTGGCTGCAGGAAATGGGCTAACTGGATTCACGTCCACAGTGGATTTCTGAGAAAGACTTGGTGGGTTAGAAGCAAGAACAGGAGATGGAGATTTAAGAAAGCTGCTTCCTTGCCATGGAGTAAAACTGTTTCCTGATGAAGTCTTTTCTGAGCTCGAGGGAAGTTTGATGGTTGGAGATGGATGTCTGACTCCCTTCCCCAGGACTGAAGACTGAACAGACACAATTTTAGGCTGTTCAGTTTCTTTCCCTGGAGGAAGCTGGCCGAGGCTGGCTGAGTCGCTGGAACTTTGTGACGTGGTGACCAGATATTTGGTCTTCTGCAGGACCACCACTTCTGACTCAGTGACTACTACCCCAGCATCAGTCTTTGACCCCGGCAGGACACTATCTGAATGGTCATCTGTGGAGGGGTGCAGAGGAGGAGACATCTGTCTCTCATATCTTACTTTTTTACGTCGCCTTCTTTTTCCAGAGATAAGTGGATCATTAAGCGACTGCATGAAGGTCAGCTTTGTTGTCTGAGACTCATCACCACCTTCATATCCAAATACAGAATCATCTTTTACCTCATGGGCTGGCCAGACTGTTGGTTGTGAGTCATCATATTTGACAAACTTCTCCCATTTAGCATATTTCTGCACATCCACTTCAGAAGGTACAGCCAAGTCACAGGGTCTCTGTTTCCACACATCTACATAATTTTCTGCTTTAGAAATTATGAAGTCAGAATTCTCACTTGTTTTACTTTCTTTGCTTTTTTTGCAAGAAGTCAATACTTTTAGCTCAGGAGGAGGTGGGCAACCGGACAGCTGCCGCTGCCGACTCAGAGAGGGTGCAGAATACCTCTTGAAGCTCCTTTGCATCGGGCGAGTGTTCATCTTTTGCTTGTTATAGAGCAGCCTGTTTGCCGTGCAGGCTACTGATACGGAAGGATCGAGACACAGGGGTTCCGCAGTAGCCAAGATCAGTTGGCTCTCAAGCAGCAGTTTGTCCTCCTGGGTCCATTCCTGGCCATCGCTGCTTATGGACTGCACGTCGCAGGCTAACGTCTGCATGGTCGGGCGCAGGAGAATATGCCTGCTCTGGTAGCCGGGAGGTTCCCCACCACAGCACTGCCTGTAGTCCCGCACCTGTGCTATGACACACCCAGAGTGGAAAATGTTAACCTGAAATTTTTCCAGGAGGGCCAGCAGACCAGGGGGTAACTCCTCAGCATCCAGGTATTCCAGCAATTCCCCTTCTTCATAAGGCAGCCGAATGGTCTCCGAACACGCCCCATGTTTCCCCTCGAGCATCAGCGAATATCCCCCCTCTCCCGGGTGTAGGTTGACCACCAAACAGGGCAACGACTCTCTCCTGACGAGCTTCTCTAGCAAGTTCACGTTGCTTCTTAGCTCCTCCGGAGCCTCAGGCTCTTTCCCACATTCTTCCACATACATGTCATAAAGTTTTTCATAGAGAGATGCTTCCCCACTCGACGAGCGTTTCCTTTTAGGAGGCCTCTGCTGGGCACTTGCGATGACATAGTCCGCACGGTCCAAAGCTCGTTCTACAGCCTGTTGCATCATGGGACAAAAGGGGCCCCAAAAGAAAACAAAATGCAACTGCCTAGTGGAGCAGGGTAAAAACCCCGCCCCTTCACGTCAGTGTAGAGTCTTGGAAGCGCCGCAACTCCAGAGTGGAGCCACCAGCTTAACTTCAAAAATGATACCAAGAAACCCACCAGCAAGAAAGCAATACACAAAATCTTGCAAGTCTCTGAAAATACCTGTATCTGTATAGGCTGCAGCCACTCCGCCGGGCCTTGCCTCACCTCACCTTCGGTTGTCGCCCCTCGTTAGACCGGAAGTCAGTGAGGAGGGGTCAAACTACACAGCCTTCTGTGCGCTTGCGTGCTGCCTCGGGCTGCACCTTCCGCTTCCTTGGCGGTGTCGTTTTCAGTAGTCTGTACTTCCTGTTGTGGTGCCTGCACTTCCTATTGCCAAGTAGGGCCAGGCGTCTGTGTTCAGTCAATGCAGTTTAATAGGATAATAACAAAAAACATTTCTAGAAAGTGATTCAGTGTCATCCTTTCCCCCACTTTGTTCTCATAAAGCAAAGAGCAAAGAAAAATTACAAATATAATATGTCCTATGTGCTCTCCTTTTCCCCCATAGAAAATGTATGTTCAACCAACAGCTACTTTTGAGAATTAATTATGAGGGAAGTAATATGCTAGAATTGAGACAGTAGTATCAGTGACAAGTGACTTGCCATGTAGGAGTTAACAGTTTCCTTGGTGAGGCAAACAAATAATCAGATAAATAGAATACACCACAATTTATAAACTTGTGGGCAGAGTGATAAAGGAAAAGAAGTGCTAAACATGGAGAAGTGAAAAAAACTACTCCCAAAGGAGGTGATGGTTGAGCTTTCTTAAAGGATGAATAGAAAGTTATCAAACAAAAGGATTCAAGTCCTGGCAATTCTGAAGTTAGGAGAGAAATCTAGACTGGAGCTATGGATGAGGATGTTATCTATTTGAAATTATTTTCCAGTGAGTTCCCACCATGAGTCATGCAAAGCTACTCAAAATTTATCCAATGCTTCAGGAACTTTACAAAGCGGGCATTTTTACCCTCTTTATTTTCAAATGAAGAAACTGACATTCAACCAACTAAAGTAATAGGCTCAAGGGTATAAAATGATAAGCAGTTGAGGCAGGGAACAAATCCAAATCTCTGACTGCAAAGCCTGACCTCTTTCCCCTTTTTTATGAAACTAACCCTAAAAACAGAGGAGCGTCTGGAAACATTGACAGGGAATTTGGTGGTAGGTGCCCAACTGGACATCATCTTACATGCAAATTCTGTGTTGTTGTTTTTTTTCACAAATGTAAAACATTAAATTACTTATTTTGAAGCAAAATTGACAGTTCATGAAGATGCCCCATTAGAACCAGTCATGGAAAAATAAATACACAAGAATGGTGAAGAAGTTGTTTTGGAGATGGGTCAGGGGGTGAGTGAAACAGGTGATGGGGATTAAAGAGTACACTTATGATGAACCCTGAGTAATGTATAGAATTGTACACTGGGAAATGATATACACTTTATGTTAATTATACTGGAATTAAAATAAAATACTTAATAAAAAATAAGTAATGGCAAGAGATTTGCCTTACCAGGTATTATATCATACTAAACAGTGTGTTGGTGTATAAATTTCAGGAGAAGTAAGTTGAAGAGTTGGATATCTAAGAAATAATTCCCAAAATATACAGGAGTTTGACATACAGTAAGTGTGGCATCACATGTCAGTGGAGAAAAGATAAAGTTTTCACTCAGTATTGTTTGTAAAAAAGGAAACTGAAAAAAAAAAAAAAACCTTTTCTGTCTTAACATTTCTGTAAAAATAAATGAATCAATGATTAAACTGTAAAACTACTAGAAGAAAATATTGAAAAATTTTAAAATATATATAATTACAGAGTAGAAAAAGTCTTTCTAAAAGTCCCCAAATCCAGAGGGTATAAAATGATTGATATAATTATTAGAGAGAAATAAAAAACTCTCTTCATGTCAATCAAAATAAAATTAAATGGTAAATGACAAACTGACAGAAGATATTTGCAATAGAATTCAAAATAAACCAATATCCTTAATATAAGAAAATCCTATAGCTCTGCCATACCATTTTATATTTTGTGCTCATTTTTGTTGTTTCTACTAGTTGTCTTTATACTGATACCTTTATGTAATAATCTCAGTCTTCCTAGATTTTTCTGTGATGTCAGCTTACAATATTTTAATTCTCATCTATATGTTAATGAATAAGGTTACTCTATGTTCCTTTCTCTCTTCTCTTTGCATTTTTAGTTATTTCTACTTCATCAGAGCAAATAATATTTACATGTTATTCAACTGTAATACTTAATACTGCCTTTATTTTAGTACTAGATCATCAATTAGGTATGCTCACTACCAAAATTTCTCTAAACCCTTCTCCATCCTTATGTTGTAAAATTTTCATCCTCTATTTTTAGGAATAATTTATGTGTACAGTATTTCCTGAGATTCTTTTTCTAATGTTTAAAACTTTGCTGGTAATAAAATCTTGGCTCATACCTTGTCCTTTCCTTTAGATTCTTGAAAATGTTGCTCTACTATTGTGCTTTGTGTTTTCTTTTTTATAAGTGACATGGCCTTTTTCTCTGGAAGTTCAGAGGATATTATTTTCCATTTTATTTTATTTTATTTATTTTATTTTTGGTGTAGTTAACATAGTGTTATATTAGTTTCAGGTATACAATATAGTGATTCAGCAATTCCATACATCACCCGGTACTCATCATGACAAGGGCCTTCCTTAATCCCCATCACCTTTTTAACCCATCACCCCACTCCTCTCCCCTCTGACAAGCACCAAATTGTCCTCTATTATTAAGAATCTGTTTCTTGGCTTATCTCTCTCTCTTTTTTTCCCCTTGCTCATTTGTTTTGTTTCGTGAATTCTCCATATAAGTGAAATCATATGGTATTTGTCTTTCTCTGACTTATTTCACTTAGCATTATACTCTCTAGCTCCTTCCATGTCATTATAAATGACAAAATTTCATTCTTTTTTATGGCTGAATAATATTCCATTATCTCCCATCTTCTTTAAACATTCATCATTTGGTGGACACCCGGGCTACTTCCATAGCTTGACTATGGTAAATAATGCTGCTAAAAACATAGGGGTGCATGTATCCTTTTGAATTAGTGGTTTTGTATTTTTTAGGGGTAAAAACCCTGTAGTGCAATTGCTGGATCTTAAGGTAGTTCTATTTTTAACTTTTTGGGGAAACCTCTACTGTTTTTCACAGTGGCTGCACCCATTTGCATTCCCACCAGCAGTACAAGAGGGTTCCTTTTTCTCCACATCCTCGCCAACACCCGTTGTTTCTTGTGTTTTTGATTCTAGCCATTCTGAGAGGTGTGAGGTGATATCTCACTGTAGTTTTGATTTGCATTTCCCTGATGATAAGTGATGTTGAACATCTTTTCATGTGTCTGTTGGCCATCTGGGTATCTTTTTTGGAGAAATGTATGTTCATTTCTTCTGTCCATTTTTAAATTAGATTATTTGTTTTTTGGGGTATCAATTTATGTAAGTTCTTTATGTATTTTGGATACTAACCCTTTACCAAATATGTCATTTGCAAATATCTTCTCTCATTCAGTGGGTTGCCTTTTAGTTGTGTTGATTGTTTCAGTCACTGTGCAGAAGCTTGTTATTTGAATGTAGTCCCAATAGTTTATTTTTGCTTTTGTTTCCTTTGCCACAGGAGACGTACTAGAAAGAAGTTGCTATAGCCAGTGTCAAAACAGTTACTGCTTGTGTTCTCTTCTAGGATTTTGATGGTTTCAGGTCTCACATTTAGGTCTTTAATCCATTTTGGATTTATTTTTGTGTATGGTGTAAGAAAGTGGTCCAGTTTCATTCTTTTGCATGTTGCTCTCCAGTTTGTCCAACACCATTTGTTGAAGAGACCATCTTTTTCCTATTGGACATTCTTTCCTGCTTTGTTAAAGATTAATTGACCATATAGTTTTGGGTTCATTTCTGAGTTTTCTGTGTTTTCTTATCTGTTCTATTAGTCTTTGTGTCTGTTTTTGTGTCAATACCATACTGTTTTGATTACTACAGCTTTGTAATATAACTTGAAGTCTGGAATTGTGATACCTCCAGCTTTACTTTTCTTTTTCAAAATTGCTTTGACAATTTGGGGTCTTTTGTTACTTTATCAAAACCATTATACTTTAAAAATATTTCTTGGAATTGACCATCCGTTCTCTTTTTTCCTAGCATGTGATGAGTTCTTTTAATACGTAAATCCAGAGCTTTTATTTCAGCAATGTTTTCTTTAGTAGAATCTTGAAACATTTCTTCTATTCCTTTGATTTGCTATTTTTCCTTCAGGTATTTCAGTTAAAAGTATGTTGGATAATCTTTTTGTGTCTTTTCTGTCATGTTCTCTCTAAACTTTTTGTATTACTTTTTGTTTCTTTTCTGTTCTATCCTTTATAAGCCTATGTTAAATGTGGTTATACCTATTCTCTCTTGGGAACTCTATTACTTTTATATTGCTACCATCACAAATTATCACAAACTTATAGGACAAAACCAAAACTCATTTTTGTTTTCTCACAATTCTGTTGGTTAAAACACAGGGCAGGCTCAGCTTAGGGTCTCACAAGTCAGAAGTCAAGGTTGCCTGGCCAGGCTCTTAACTGGAGGATCTGGGGAAAAATCCACTTCAAGTAGTTGGTTAAATTTAGATTTTTGTGATCATAGGACTAAGGTTTCAATTTTATTCCTGATTGTCAGCCAGGGACCACTCTTTGCTCCTAAAAGTTGCTCATATTGTTTCTTTGTCAAATGTCTTCATCTTTACTCTAGTGATAGTTTATTGAATCCTTTTCATGCTTCAGGTGTCTCAGACTTCCTCTTCTGCTACCAGATGGAAAAAGCTCTATGCTTTTAAGGGCCCATCTGGAGAATATGGGATCATCTTCCCTATTTTAAGTTATGGTGCCATGTA